CATCGATTGGCCGCCTCCTGCACACCCCTCACTAGAGATTGGGCCCACAACCTGGGCATGTGACCTGACCGGGAATCTAACCAGCAACCTCTTGGTACATGGGGGTCAATGCTCAACCAGTGAGCCATATCACCCAGGCAGCAGGCGGCTTAACAAATGTTTGCCTAATTAATGAAAGATTGGATAGCCTTTATTCTTGTTCTATTTGGTCCTTATTCTCAGCTCAAGTTCAGTTTGACCACCTGAAGGCTGGACACTGCAACATCCCAGTCACTTCATGTCAGAGCCAGTATCAAGCTCTTTGGGAGCTGCTTGGAACAACTTATATCAAAGGATTCAATTTGTATTACTTTGTCCTTATGTTCCAAACATTTTTGGACTGTTTCACCCTCCCTCCTCAAAAGCTTCTACTTGCTTCCCAAATAAGACCTCGGTATGAGTTTCGAAAGAGTTCATTTAGTGGGCATTCTCTTTTCTGGATGTGTCATCTCTAATTAATTTATTTGAAAACTGTGTTCTAGTCCATTAAATGTGACTTCTCTGTTCTCTTACCTGGGCTTCTCATATGTGCTAGTCCCAAAGCAGCACAACAGCCTTTCACTTCTCTGCTTAAATGCCGGCCTTTAAAATGGCTTGATAGTTACTTCTTTTAGGAAGCTTCTGCTGAAATCTAGATACCACTAACAACTAACCGGCCGATCAATATTCATATGTAGCCTAGTTGTTTCTATATGTGAGTATGGTTATGCTTTATCTGCATTTTAAAGTGTTTACTGTGTTAAAGAGTGTAAAATGTTCACAGTGAACTCGGTTGAAAGGAAATTTGACAGGATAGGGTGCAAATGGACTTTGGCATCAAATGAGTGGACTGGCCCATTACTACTTACTAGTGGTGTAATAACTAATTCAACTCGATACCTCTGCTTTCTGTTCTGCAAAATGGGGGTGATAATAATTACCTAGAGTTGCAGAGAAGTTTAAATGTACAGCAGTTGGCCTAGTGCTAGGAAATGGTAGGTTGGATATATAGCACTGCTACAATTACTACTAGATTAAGAGTATAAACCTCAATTTGAGACTATTTGCTTTACCAAGGACAAGTTCTTGTTCAATAGAACAAGGGAGCATAGAAAAAAGTGACTTATTTCTCCTGTTAAACTTCCATAAACTATCACTTTAAGCCTTTGGAAGTGAGATCTTATCTCTCCTCACTTTTAAATATATATTTTTTCTTCTTCTTCTTTAAATAAAATTAGGTAACCTTATAATTATTTCACTTTGAAATGCTAATTTTTAAAAAAGTGTATATTGCCTTTTAAGTACCCAGATTTAAGTACCTGGCTATATCTATCCACTATATGAGCTGTCTTGTCTTCTCATCAATAAAAATCAGAAAGATGTGGTCTAATTTGAAACCCACACAAAAGAAATTCACTCAATCAATATATGGGCATGTTCTTTCTGATAGAAAAACTGTCTGAATTCAAAGGAAAAGGATGTTCTAGTCCATTTTAACTGTTGATGGAAAACATCCCTACATTATGTTGCCAGGGACCTGAGGGTAGAAAGAGTATACAGTTGGCCCTTGAACAACATGGGGATTAGGAGTGCTGACCTCTGTAGTCAAAATCCACATATAACTTTTGACTCCTCAAGAACGTAACTACTAATAGCCTACCTTTGACTGGAAGCCTTATTGATAACATAAACAGCCGATTAACACATATTTTGTTACATGCATTATATACTGCATTTTTACAATAAAGTAAGCTAGAGAAAAGAAACTCTTAAGAAAATACATTAACAGTCTTTGTTGAAAAAATAAATCTGTGTATAAGTGGACCCACATAGGTCTAACCCATGTTAAGGGTCAACTGTACTTTTTTGAAAACAACTAAAATGATGAGATCTGGAGGGCCTCCAGTATGAGAATATGGTGCTAAACAAATCAGTTTGTCTTCTGGGAAGGATAATAAATAGCAGGGTATGGGGCTAGACCACAGATGCTGGTTTAACAGTTCACAGATGAGGATGGTAGGTAGTCTCAGAAAATTATAAAATGCCTCTGCTGAGCCAGTTACCGGTAAGATTCCACCTACGTATGTACTGCTTAAATAGCTTCCTACAAACCTGAGCCTAAGTGACCTGTCAGCAGAGGGTGTCTATGACAGTTACAAGAGAAGGGCCTTACTGCTTAGGGTTGTGTGTGGGTGTTGAACATGGTACTTCAACATAAATTTATGAGGTGCAAACTTTTAATGCAAAGATGACTCACAAAGTTTCAGAATGTATAAATATGAAGCACAATCTAACGTACACCATCACTGGTGCTCACCCACAGCAAAACTAGCCTGGGTTGATTACCAAATTGTTTGGACTACCAGGAAATTCACAAAATTCGTTGAGAAAAATTCTTGGGTTGATTTTAACATTTGTGTGGCACCATCTTGAAGCAGTGTGATATGGACCCTAATCTGCCTTTTGAGACACTGCTTGAAGGTGGCATTCAATTAACTCTATTTCTCTGAGACTGTCAAGTCAATTCTTTTGAGACATAACATTGAAAAACTCATAGACAGCAATTGTATAATAAAAAAATTTAACAGACACTTTCTCACTCAAGTGTTTTGAATCAGGCAATAAAAAAAGGATAACTAAACATTTCATATGAATGTTGAAATAAAACTAAGATTAGTACTTTATGTGATTCATTTCCAATGTTGCTTGTTTGAGAGTTTTATTCAATTGCTATGAAAATGTCATAAAATTTCCTTTAATTGAAGATAAACTGGTAAAGACTAGATCTTTAGAATTATTGGTGATACCTTGAAAGTAGTTATTTATGGCTTTCAAAAGAATAACCTTGGATATTGTGACAAAATAGACACAACCTGGAGACCCAGAATTCAATAGGATATGGTTTTAATAACTAAAAGTTTTGTGGCCCTTAAAACACAGGAAGAATATGAAATAAAGAACTTAACCAATTTTGTAAATGGAACAAATCATTGTTCATAGTTCCTGTAAAAGTGGTTTATATAATCTGCTAAACTTACAGATTCATAATTGAACTTAATAAATTTCTGACTTATTTTTTTTTTTAACAAAAAAATGAAAACACCTTTGAGATGCCCTGGCCAGTTTTGCTCAGCGGTTAGAGTGTTGGCCTGCAGACCAGAGTCTCGTGTTCGATTCCGGCCAACAGCATGCACCTTGATTGCAGTTTGGTCTCCGGCCCTGGTCAGGGTCGTGTAGGAGGCAACCAACAGATGTGTCTCTCTCTCCCTCCCACTCTATTTGAAGATAAATGGAAAAATATCCTCGGGTGAGGATATAAAAACCAAAACCTCTTTGAGGTTTTTGTTGTTCGTAAAAATTTCCATATTAGAAATCAGTAGAAAGATGCCAGAAAAGGTTTTAAAGCTATAACTGTTGCATACTCAAAAAAAAAAAAAAAAAAAAAAAAGAATTAAAAATCATCCTACAGGGTCCTATAGTTAACAATAGCAACGTTTTTGAGATTAAGCATATTTACAATAAAAAGAAATTTCTGGGCATTGGGTCATTGTTTTAACTTTGTAGGCCCTCTTGAGAATTTCATTTATGAAGACACCCAAAGATAATAAGAAATAAATAAACTTGGATTCCCTGAAACACCACCCATGCATACAGCTGGACTATTAGGTGGTTTTTAATTAAACAGCAGCTACCATATTTGGTCACATGCTTCAAGCTATTACAAACACAGAACATTTGTTCAATTCTAACTTCAGCTATTTACCAATTGAATTCATTTCTCATAAAAGGTAGACCTCCTAGTTTCATTAGGTTAATATCTTGGTTCATTTTCTTCTGAAGACTCAGTGCAGTATTGAATAGTCATAAGCAAAATGGGTATTGTGTCAATAATGCTTCAACATTTGAGTGGCCAACTAGCAAATCATATGTTAGGAAATTCCGTGAATGCTTACTTAGGTTTTAAGTCTTAAATACCATCAGCTATAATTGTAAAGGTACACTAGGTGCTTGTAGCCTTGTAATCACCAAATTCTAAAGCTTTTACCCATGTGGTTTTACTAATTAAAGACAGGAAAAAGACCATTTTTTTCCTCCTATCTTTTGACAGGTTCAGTGGGACTGTCAAAAGAATTATTATCCTGGTAAGAAGATCTAAGTGGCATTCAGCTTCAAAATAAAACGGTAATGATTCTAAAAAGTGGCCTCAGTGAAATGTGCTACTACTGTGGCTTTATATCTTACCCTACAGCTTTCTGTTAACTATGTCAGTCCTGGCTGATCTTCCCTGAGATCACTCACTAAATGTGCTTTCTTTCACCTGTAAAGTGCCTAGAAACATCAAATGCACTTACATGTCAGCTCCTTATTCATCCCAAGTCTGTAACACACTAAAATTTGTATTTTTATCTGAGTGGTTTTAGTTATAATTCAACCAGGTATTGAGTTCCCACAGAGCCAGGATCATGTCTTGTATTTCTTCTGTGGCCTCCACCCTCACCACATCAGGCACCTAGCACAGTGCTGGACACATTGAAGCTCTTCCTTAATCTACTAAACTCATCATTTAAAACTTGGTTGCAAAGCTTTTTGCTAATTTTCTATCACAGGTTAGCTCAATTTCATATAATTAGCCCATAATACTGAAGCCAAATCACAGTAACACTTTAAATACAGATTATAAATGTTAAATCCTAATGTTCTTTCTACTTATTAAATACTTAGTTGGTTAGATATAGTATAGTTTTTTAAATGTCCTTGAAACTTATGAGAACAAGCTAAACTTTGATAGACCAGTCAACTGAGTTGGCCAAATTACTTTCTAGAAATGAAGGTAGCTGACAATACTATTCAGTCCTGACTTAAGACCTAAGACCCTGGCCCCCAATTCCCAAGCCCAGACCAAGTACCCAGAGAGGAAGGCAGAGTACCTAATATCACCTTCTGTGGAAAGTGCTATGCAGAAACTTCTATAAACATAAATGTGTGAGGCACAAAATCTTTATTGCCACAGGAAGCAAGTGCACTCGTCCCACCTCACCAACAGCTTTAAGAGTCACAGAAACGCAGACTTCACATAATAAAATACAACACGGACTGAGGGAGAAATGGTCCCTTGGACTAGATTGGTTGTAATACTGAGGTAACCAATTGACCTTGTTCAGTGAAAATACCTCTAACACAATGAAGAAAACAAACTGTTATAACATCCAATTCATATATACAATTCAAATAAAAATATATATTATTTGCTTCAATGTATAGCAAATTTAATACATTAGTGTTTACAAAATAAAAACTGTATTCTACTGAAATTTTTCTTGTGCTTCCTTCTTATCACTAAGCTTGAAAGATCAGAAAAGTCTGATACTTAAGGAAACTTATTTATGGATTTAAAGATGCAGTTTGTGGGGCCATGAAAGACATAAATATTAGTTGGAAGATTACAGCATCTTTAAAAGTGTTGCTTATTAAAATCTACAAACTTGAACTTGTAAGACACAATTTTAAAAAACCCACAGAATTTCTCAAAGTAGATTAGAATACAGGAAACGTTTCATGAAACTACTGAGATACTAACCAGTTCTATGGCTAATATTAAAAACTGAATAATCTATTTAAATCATACTCATACTATTTCTAAACACAGTGAACAATACAACCACAATAATCAACCTCAAGCCAGCAACGGAGTTGCAAGGTCCATAAAAAGCTTCTTCAGTGGGCAAAACACTATGGTACAATGAAAACATTTAGGAAGGGAAAGAGCCTTTTAATAGTATAGAAGTTGTTTACTGGTGTTTCTACTATAAAGCTATTCTACAAATCAAAATGAAAAAGCAATTATATATGTAACAGTGATCAGAACTACAGTACAGACATTTCATCTAACATTTGGCTGATGAATTTGAGTATAACAGATTATGACTTAGTATTTTTTACACATTTATGACCTAGAGCAGAGCTGAAAACAAAACAAATAAAAAAAAACACATATTCCAATTCAATATGCTCTTCTCAGCAATATCTGGGTTTAGATTAATGTGGAGGAAGTAGGTAAATCTGTCAAATATCTTCTCTTCTTAAGCCAACAGAAAAAAAAATTGGTAATAGTAGTATTTGTTTTTTTACTATGGAGTCCAATGTGAAATTCTCGTTAAGTATGGAAGTATATTATTAACATTTAAGCATACCCCCATATATATGCACACAGCCCATTAACTAAATAGGGGGAATTAAAATATGCTATCAAGTGAAAATGAATTTTAAGAAAAAACTGCATTCACAAATCTGAAAGGTGTACAAGAATGAAATTATAAAATAAATAATACGTGTCAACTAAACCGCTATAGAAATATGCCTGCAAACGTGGATGTAGTGCTGTCCACAGCTGTGAAGGTCTGAGTGGGAAAACATTCCTTAGGGAGAGCTATCTTGTTTCTCTGACTCCAGTATGTAGAGAAGAATTTCTGGATATAAAACGGTATTTACTTTATATTACAGCCTTTGTTAGCAGTCACCCTCCTCATCACATTTAGGGTTAACTTACTATGTCTTAACTTACTATTACTTACTATTTCACACATTCAGAAATTGCAATGTTTAAGTCAAGGCTTTACACATCAGTCCACTTGTTTCAAGTTCTCGGTCCAAGTAGTAATAGCTCCCTATTTTTGTTATATCCTAAGGTAGCTATCATATAATGCAACCTGGGGCAACTAGGTTAAGAAATATTTCCTATTGTATTTCTCATCTTTTTAACTTTACTCCAGTATTTATTAATTGTGTACATGTGCCTGATAAGCCAGCAAAAATGACACTTTATTACTATAAATGACACATTTTCTATTAAACAAAATCAGTTTCACCAATGATTAAATCCACAACATTTTCCTTGGTTTAAACTGCTTGCAAAATTCCATTTTTCCAAAGTCACTGCAACCCTGCCAATAACTACATTACTTAAACTTTCTATTTTATGACTGTAAAGATTCTAAACTCTGACATATAATATTTACGCTAAATACACTTAAAGTAGACAATGAAATTTCAAGTAAAATAAACTGTATCATATCTACTAGACCAAACAGGTCTCAATACCTAGATTTTACTTCTATAAATTACACAAATACATTGTACATTCTTAAATAAATGCTTACAATACTAATTTGTAAGCCTTTCCACATAAAACGACTTACACAGGAATGTGAATGGATCATTATTTCTGTTACAACATTCTTTCAATTTTTTTTCATCTGTGGCTGTTGTTTTTTCTTCCTGGTGTCCACAGACTACTGTATTAGTCCTTATGCTTTGGCTATGAAATCTGTTTGAGCTGAATGAGGCAACACTGGTTATTAAGGCTTATTTCTATGATGGAGCATTATCCTTAAAACTGATGCCATTTCCAGAGAACAGTGGGAAAATCACAGCTATCTTGAATCTTCAGGCTCTGTTTTGATGACTTTCTTTTCAAAAGTAAAAGCTGAGTGAGGGTAGTCTTTTAAAATCCCAAGGCTCTCTGCATTAAAAAGGGAAACACAAAGTGTATTGATACTTGAAATCAGTGGATCACAAAAAAAAACCTCAAACAAACTTATAAAACACAACTCCCAAACTCCACAGCAAACAGTATCAATTATTCATAATTCTGTAATTCCATATAAATACTTTGTTTACAGGGTTGTGGTTAAGAGCTTGGATTCTGTATTTAAATTTTATCTCTGTCAATTACTAGCTGTATCCATCCCTGGACAATTACACATCTCTCTAAGTCTTAGTGTCTTCATCTATAAACTGGGGATACTCTCTCTATAGGGTGGTGTAAGAGTTAAATCATGAAATACACATAAAGCACCTAGCATACAGAACATATTGACTTTCACTTAATACTTGGCCCAATGTGATTAGTAAAATATATAAAATAAAAACAATCACTCATATACAACAAAGTTACTAGCCAAAATATTTATTATCAATGAAAAAAATGAAACAGAAAAATTTCTTCTGTGTTTAAACATAGAACTATTTTTAAAAGTTTCTCTAGCCAAGAAACCTCAAGGTGAGAGAAACAGGAACAAAAAAATGGAAACACTACTTTCATAAGGAATCATTCCTTGGAGCTATGTGTGTAAAGTTGTTTAAATCTCACATAAACACTACAAATGACAACACAATGTAACAGTTATGTGAAGTACTAACACTGATGGATACATATATACACACACAAGCACACATGTGCATGCACATGCACACACACACACACACACACTTTGAAAAGCACTCTGGAAAGGTAATCAATACTAACAGCTTATCTGTAATTAGGCAGTTCAATTTAGGAATCTACTCTCTCTATACAGAAATGGATTTTAAATTCAGCAAAGAAAACTAACAAAAATAGTAGCTATCATTTATTGAATTCCTATCAGTTAGGCAATTTATAGACACTATCTTGTCTAATCCTCATAACTACTCTATGAGGATGAAATTATTTCTACTCTATGAGTAACTGGCTTCAAGAGACTTTAAACTAGTGTTACTTTAACTCAAAGACTGAATGATACCAGATTCCTTCAAATGGTGTTGGTCTCTAACAACTTAACGTCTAACTCACTATCCTTGGGTTAAAATATGTAAACATCTAACTATAATAATGAACAGCTTATCCTTTTATGGAGTTCAGTTTACTTCTGAACTATGAATATCATCTCCAAAATGTATCTGCATGGAAAGTTTAGATTCTGATACACGAGGTTTTCTCAGCATGAGAGCAAACATGTAATCCATCAATTTCATATTATGAAAGGCCAGAAAAAAGACAGTTATATAACTCAAACCAGCCATTTATAATTTGGTATAAAATTTTGCATAAAAGTAACCATTCATGTAATAGCTAATCAAAATAATCTGAACCTTCCTGAGTTTTTCCTGTCAACTCTTTGGTATTCTATGTTCTCAAAAAGACTGGCTGTTATTATGGCAATCTATTATTTCCAAAGGGAGAAAAACTGACTAGCAGCATTGTAGCATTATTAGTAATAAAATTTTTGTGGGAAGAGACAATGGGAGGTAGAAGAGTAGAATTTAAAGATGCTGCCCTGGCCGGTTTGGCTCAGTGGTTGAGGCATTGGCCTGCGGTCCAGAGAGACCAGGTTCGGTTCCCGCTAAGGGCGTGTGTCTCGGTTGCAGTTTGTCCCCAGCCCTGGTTGGTCGTGCGGTGGCAGCCACTCAATGTGTCCCTTTCATGTCGATGTTTCTCTCTCTCTCTCCCTCCCACTCTATCTGAACAAAAAATGGAAAAATGTCCTCGGGTGAGGATAAAAAAAATAAAAAATAAAGATGCTTTATTCATATTTTTCTCTCTCTAATCATATCCCACATTCTCACCTGATGAGTGAGACTTTCCCTCACTGGAGTAAAGTCTATTCAGCTCTCCATCAACCACAAAATGATGGGGTTGTCTGTTCTGTAAATTAGGAATTCGGAGATTCAAAGGTCTTTCTCCTAATGAAAAAAAAAAAAAAAAAAAAAAAAAGCGGTGTGAATAATATTACAAACACATCATGTTTTTTCTTAAAAATAATTTCTACATATTGCCTCAACACTTCTTAGAAAAGGAATAAAGAAAGTCAACAGGCACTGAAGAATTTAAATAACAGTTGGAGAAATATTTTATGAAATAATATAGGAGGTAAATGGTAATTCATACTAGTCCCAAGGTTTACAATTCTGCCAGGACATTTTTAAGAGCTGAGCATGAAATAAACAAAAGACAGATTTCGAGTAAGCACTCTAACTTTAGCATATAATATATCCCCTCTATAAGGCATTTTCTTACTAGTGCGACTATTTTGTCAAGGCATATCATTAACCACATAATAACAAATACCAGAGAAACAGAGATAGCTTCAAGTCAATTGTCTGTTATTAAAAACAACAACAAAAACTATTGCAAATCCATGAAAAAAACAGAATTATCACAGATATGGTAAAAATGCTTTATACACCAAAGCATATTCTGTCATAAACCTAAATCAACCACACTTAGCAAACTGCCAACTCACAATGAATTATCCTGGTGTAGTCATCAAAATCTTTCATTAATGCTTGTGCTTTTAATTCTGAAGTCTTAACTGTCAAGGATGACTGAAGAAGTTAAACCAGATCTCAACTAAAGTTTAAAAGAGGAAGAACGTTCTCCTCTACTACTCTGACCTACTGACACAGAATATTTTACTCAACAGAGAATGCTCAATATGGTATTCCTACTTAGCAATCTTCTTATTGGACAATAGTAACCACTCCCTAGAAAAGTATAACAATAATATATAAAAATAATATATACAATATTACTGTTTTTGTTCAAACATTTATTGCTATTTGAAAGCAGAGGATATATTTCTGTACTTATATGCTGTACATCTCCCTCCACTGCAGTGTCAGCTCCAAGTGAGCAGAGATTTTATCTTGCTCAGTGCTACATCTTCAGTGCCTAGAAGCGTGCCTGGCATGCTGGATACTATAACATTTTTTGTTGAATGAGTGAATGACAATGACTTGAGATTTTCTTCACATGTGCATAAGAAAAAAAATGAGCCCTGGCCGGTTTGGCTCAGCTGTTGGAGCATCGGCCTGCGGTCCAGAGAGACTTGGGTTTGGTTCCCGCTAAGGGCACGTACCTTGGTTGCAGTTTGTCCCTGGCCCTGGTTGGGTTGTGCAGGTGGCAGCCACTCAATGTGTCCCTTTCATGTCGATGTTTCTCTCTCTCTCTCTCTCTCCATCTGAACAAAAAATGCAAAAATGTCCTCGGTGAGGATTAAAAAAAAAAAGAATTTTTAAAATGGTAAAAATACTCATAAATCATAGCTTTCTAAATAAACCTAAGAGTTTAAGAGAACAATTTCCAAAGGGCACACCACACAAAATATTTTCGAAGGTACTGTAGGACAATGTGAAGCCTGAAAGTAGACAATGTCTTCAAGCCTGTCCATTTTCATAATGTTTCTTCAGACTTCTGTGCTCTGTCATCATATTTCAGGAAGCAGTCACCATATTCTCATAGGAACCAAATGTCATAAATTTCACAGACAAATCTGTTTTTAAAGTCTAAAAATAGGAAGTTTTCATCATCTAAAAAATGATAAAGATCTCCCATGGAATTAATTTCTTTGATAAAAATTATCAGTACATTCAGCCCTCTGTATACATGGGTTCTGCATCCACAGACCAAATGCGGCTCAAAAATACTTGGGAAAAAAAAGGTTACGTTCTTGCCAACATGTAGTAGTATGTAATGGTTAGGCCTAAATGGATGCATCTGTACTGAACATGTGCAAATCTTTTATCTTGTCATCATTCACTAAACAACAGAGTGTAACAACTATTTATATAGCATTTACATTACATTAGGTATTATTAGTAATCTAGAGATAATTTAAAGTATACAGGAAGATCCGTGTAGGTTATATGCAAATACTGCACTGTTTTATATAAGGGACTTGAGCATCCAGATTTTGATATCTGTAGGGGACCCTGAAAGCAATCCCCCTGTGGGTTCCCAGGAACAACTGCTCTGTTTACATCTCCCACTCCTACCCACCCTTTACAAACTACGTATCAATCTGTATGTGCCAGCTGTTATATAGAGATGATAGGGTAAAAAATAAAAAACTTTAAACATTAAATTTGCAGGGTCAATTCCTTCCTTTTTTGAAAAAGGGACAATTTGAAAATTAATTTGGATAGAGAACCTGTAAAATGATCTTTTAAAAATATCAAGATTTAAAAATCAGTAAATGTCTGTTTCTCTTTGAAGTACACACAAAAGCTGGCTCTAAAGGTGTAGATCTTTCTAAGAAATGTACCTTGTCCATCAGAGTTATCAGAAGTCAAGCCATTAGGGCTGTGCTCTTCTGAGCTTTGCCTGTAAAGTCCTGTAGACAGTCTTCTTTCAGCATGCTGCAGTCTCTCATAGCCAGCTTGGGTGCAAAGGAACTCCATCTGCTTTGCCATCACCTTTTCAGGCTGCTAGTAAGTGAAGCAAAAATAAAATCAGTAACTATAACATTCTAGATTTTTTTTAATGGTTTAAAGATGCCAATTTCATACTCCAGAAAATATATTTAGGATTCATTAAAATTAGTCCACACTTCATGTGGTATACACATTCCATAAATATGCATAGATGTCTGTATCAGCATGTTAAAACATAAAATGTTGGATTTTGTGCAAAAGAAAAAAATCTTTTTGCTCAATCCCATAGAAAGAATTCCATTTCAGCTCAAAAGCAAAATAACCTTAGCTCTGTTTTCCAAAGTACTGAGTCCTTTGAATGATTTTTTTGAAAAAGGACCCTCAGTGCAATAGCAACATCTGCTGTAAGCTGCTTCTAACACATAGGGTGAAATCTTGGCGTTTTTATTTTAGGATTTGGCACTACACAAATTCTGGTATGATGACAGTATTTTGGGGGAGAAAAGTGTAAAATGGCTGTCTAGAAAAAGAAGACAAACATACCTCCCACTAAAATTAAACAATGCAAGTTATGCAGAAAGACATCAGTGCCAACTAGGATCTTCACCTTCATCAGGGAATGAAATGGCAGCATTTTCCAACCAATCAAAAAAAGACATGTTTTAAAATACACAATTAGTTAGCTAAAATATAAATTTCTCTCCGCGTGTGTTTTATAAGTTCCTTCTTTATGTACTGCTCTAAATTACTTGTATGTGATATTCAAAGCAGTGTATTGGTGATATTTTGCCAAAAGACTAATAGTCAAAATGCAGATATAAATCATTACCAACTATATAAAAGAGTAATATAAAGAAGCTGCTATAAATCATTTACAAACAATCCTGATTCACAACAGTAACAATCAATAGGTGAAATATATTAATTCATAGAGTAAGATAAAAGCTTATATTATTTTTCTGAATGCTGAAAAACCAGATCAAAAGAAACTATAACTTCAATTCATTTGAACTTGTTACTAATTAACTGATAACATTTCAATAAGACTTCTGAGAGGAAATGCCTTTTTCATCCTCTTAACATATAAAAACAAAATTTGGCACTACTAGAGTTGACCAAAATCAGTCACTAGGGAGAAGATCAACAGGAATAAAACTTACAGTGCTTTCTAAAAGGTGATGTTTGCAGAAATGACTTTTTAAAATGTTAATATCAGTGTATATACAATGAAATAATAGCAAAAGTACCTGAAGCTACATGTTAATTTAACAATTTTTATTATACATTAATTAAAATGATTTAACCAAAACTACAAAGTTGACTATTAATATTCTAATAAAAACTAATACTATTTTATTTCAGATTTGTATATTACACAGACCTAGTCAACCTGGCTGTTTTTCTGGTATCAAATTACTTCTTTTGAGTATTCTTAGGTAGAGAATCTATCTTACTTTCTACAAAACTACAAAAAATAAATAAATATCACTGTATCAGATTCTGCTAAAAAAGATTCTGTTCATGAACTAAAACAAAACAAGTTGTATTGCTATCTTGTTGATACAGCTGTGGAACATATGATATTTTAAGAACCAGAAATAAATTCAGTCCTTGGATGCTTAAAATTGAAGCTAGTTGAAGCAGCCATTTATTTTTCAACCTACAGATATTATTATAAAATATTAATTGGTAGTTTTCATTACCTGTGAACTAAGAGCAGCAAGTTCTTCACTCTTAGCTTTAGCCTGCTGGAAGAGGGTTTGCATAGAGTCTTGGAAATCAGGAAACCCATCCTGGAGATCAAAGAAAAGTCCTTTTTACTTAGAGTTCATAAATAAAATAAACATCAAAAACGCAGAAAATAAAGCAAAGAAAACCACCTTAAGTAAGATTTTAATGTACAATATTTCATTTCAGCTTTTTATGGTATAATTACCTTATTCCACAGTTGTAACATTAGTAAAAACATAAATAAAAAATATAAAAAGATTTATACATCCACATTGTTTTACATTAGAAGGCAGAATTCACTGATAATAATGGTTACATAACATTTTATCTAGTGATTTGTTTATTTAACCACTGCCCTCATACTGAACATTTAGATTCTTTTCCTTATTTTTGATTTGAAAAACACAGCAAAAATATTTCCATGGAAATAGCACTTCACATAGTTTAGGTTATCCAATACAAGATATTCCCAGAAGTAGAATTACTACACAGAGATGAACATTTTTATATCTTCCACATACTTTCTATAAGGGCTTTAACTGGTCTGTCATACCATCAGCAATATATGACAGTTCTGGCCAATACTGTCTATTGTTGTTTTCTTAAATTTTGCCAATTTATACTTTTGTTTGGATACTCAAAAATTTTTTAAATTTTATATATTGTAGTTGCATATAATTGTATTTTATTTTGTGATTTATTCTATTGCTATGTTTAGAAAAGCATTCTGCTTTAGAGATCTGATAAGAATTCAAATCTACTCTCTAGTTTTTATAAGCCTTTATTTTGTTGTTTGTTTTAATTTTTAAATTAACTCTCCAACCCATCTAGAATTTATTTTGTTAAATGTACTGTGGTAAAGATCCAAAGTAAATTTTCATTAAGGTGCTAACCAATAATCTCAACCTGAAACTCTAAAGAATTCTTCCATATTGACTTGTGATTTCTCCTTTACCATTTCATATGACAGGCAATGGAACTTTGGAATTAGAGAGACCTGTATTCATGTTCCAATTGTACCACTCACCAGCTGTGTGACACAGAATGAATAACTTAACCTTTCTGAACTTTAGTTTCCTCATAAAAAATAAGGATAAGAAACTCTACCTATTAGGATTGTTGTGAGGACCAAATAAGATTAAGTAAATGAAATATTGCCTTTAGCATGTAATAACTGCTAAGTAAGTATATCTATACACACTAAATTTATATTAAACAGAGACTATTTGGGGAGCACTACTCTTGGACATCACTTCAACTTAAATTATTTCTGTTTTATACTTTATATATATTAGTGCCAATCCATCTACTACTTTTCTCAAGTTTCTTTTTTTTTTTTTTTTGTGACAGTTTGTTGCCCTCCATGAACTGTATAACTACAAAAGATCATGGTAGCACAGTTTTAATAGCTTTACTAAAAACTACCACTGGCACCCTGGCCGGTTTTGCTCAGCGGTTAGAGCATCAGCCTGTGGACTGAGAGGTCACGGGTTTGATTCCTAGTCAAGGGCACGTACTAGACTGCAGGTTCAAGCCCTGGCCCTGGTCAGGTCATGCGGGAGGCAGCCAGTTGACGTGTCTCTCTCACATCAATGTTTCTCTCTCCCTCCCTCCCTCCCTCCCTCCGGCCCTCCCTCCCTCCCTCCGTCCCACCCTGTCTAAAAACCAATGGAAAATATCCTCAGGTGAGGATTAACAACAACAATAAAAAGAACTACCAAAGGATTCCTCACAGAAATTGTCATTAACTTCCAAAACATTTCTCCCCTTTTTGATAAACTATATATTTATACCAAAGGGTGAAGCATTAAAAACCAAAGTTCTTACAATAACAATAGAAAAAGATGTAATAACAACAAAATATTTTATCTTTTTTCAAATAAGAGATCCTAGTTCTAAAAAGAGCCCATCAGGGTCTTTTCAAAAAATTATTTCCCCATAGTAGACCTCATGTTTTCAAATATTTCATCTACAAAAATTTACTTCCTAAGTAATAATTAAGTTGATGTGTCTGTCTCACATGCTATTTTTTAATTCAAAGCCATAAAATAAAATAGGAAAAAAAGAAAATAATCTGACATCCTGAAATAGTCATATGTAGCTTTATGGTGGGTAATATATAATCAGCATTTTTTTTTTATCCTCACCCGAGGACTTTTTTTATTTTTTGTTCAGATAGAGTGGGAGGGGGAGAAAGAGAAACATCAACGTGAAAGGTACACATCGAGTGGCTGCCACCCACACGACCCAAGCAGGGCCGGGGACAAACTGCAACCGAGGTACATGCCCTTAGCAGTAACTGAACCCGGGTCTCTCTGGACCACAGGCCGACACTCTAACCGCTGAGCCAAACCGGCCAGGGCTATAATCAGCATTTTTAATATACTGAAAATAGCCACCTTTCTAGGCTGCTAAATGTGATTAAGGATGACTTAGAAGAATGCATAGAAACCCATCATTAACTGAGCTAGAATAAACTTCATACAAGTGTATACAGTCTAAATCTAAGTCATTCAATTGTTCTTAGTCATTCAATTTTTCTCCTAAGAACTTATTTAGACCTAAAAATCCAACTTTCTCTTTACAAACTCTCCTTTAAGTTCTGAAGTTCAATGTGGTAAGCTAGTAGAAGACTTAGAGAGCAACAATAAAAGCAGCTATCATTTTTTTCAGGCACTTACAATGTACCAGTTTCTGACTATGTTCTGTACATTACATATAATCTCATTTAATCCCCACTACATACAACACTGGGTTTCCCTCATTTTACAGCTACAGACATGGGCTTCAAAACTTATGCTCAAACCATAAACTCCTAGAGTTACCACCCTTTTGAAACTCACCAGAGGAAACAGAGGTTATTTCTTTTAGAGCTGTTTTTCATAAGCTCAACTGGTTTAACTCTATGATTTGCACTGAGTTTAAAATCCAATTCTACTACTCATTTGCTGTGATATTGGACAAATTATTTCATCTTTCTGTGTCTGTTTCCCCACCTATGAAATGGGGATAACAACAGTACTCAGCTAACTTTAGAACCATTTTAAGAAAACAAAAAAGTCACGAAAAACACTTAGCACAATGCTTTGGCTCATAGAAATTACTCAATAAATGTTTGCTATGGATATTTATTAAATTCCCCCCAAACCACCACCAGATTTAATCAGAGTAAAATAGCATGCTGTAAATTACTTACTGTATCTCCATGAAACAGATACATTTTAGGCATATTTATAATATATAGACATCTTAGAGAATGAGTAGGAACTAGGCACTTAACACTAAAAACAGCAAGATAATATTGACTATATTAGTGGGGAACTATTCTAGTGAAAAGAACAAATGAAAACTGGAAACACCTGTTTATTCATCCAACAAAAATATCTTATTTGCCTAACAGGTTCTACACTCTGTACTCAAGGCTGGGAATACAATGACTCGTGCCCAAAGAAGTCTAGACAGGGAAAGAGACAAAGGGATCCAGAGCAGAGCAGAGGCACTGTTTCAGGAAGGCTGGAGGGTGTGACACCTAGGCTGAGACTTGAAAGAAGAAAGAGTTCTCTAGGGTAAGAGAGAAGTTTATATAGAGGCCTAAAGGCAAAAGAACAGGATGCACTAGAAAAGCTAAAAAGTAATTAGTATAGGTAACTAAGGAATACACTGAGAAAGAGGGAGTGGCAAGAGGAGCTGGATACATGGGGCCAAAGTGTGTGAGGCCTTGTAAGCCATGTTAAAAATTTTAGATTTTATCTTAAATGCAAAGTGAAGACATGGAAGGTCTCAAGGAAGAAACTAATTAGCTCTGCATTTTACAAAGCCTAACCCACTCTGAATGCAATGGGTACGATGGATTGGGGTGGTTCAAGGAGGGTGGTAGGGAACTGTTCAGAGGGCTGCCTTTGGAGACAGAAAATAGTGGCTTAGCCCTAGACAATGACAGACTCAAGAGAGAAATACATGAATTCCTGAGATAGAGCTTTTGCAACTGTGGGTTTGGAGGTAGCATCCACTAGAATAAGGAACTCAGGACCAGAAAGGAGGTTTTAGGAGGGAGTATAAAGTTGATGAATTCAGCTGGGGACTTGTTGAGCCTGATCAATCTGCTGGTGAGACCTCCCAGTAGGTAGCTCAGCAGGCAGGTGCACTGGGTTGTGAGGCTGGGGCAAGGTTAGGGCTGGAAAACCACACGAGAGAGTTCCAACTTATCAATAGGCCCAGAGAGGAGTGCACCCAGGCCAGAACCTCTGATATCTCAGTACTGTTTTTAAAGGAGCTTACAGAACGAGAAAGGAGTGGTCTAGTCTTCTCCTGTAGGAACTAGATGTGAGATCTCAGACATGAAAGTTAAACTCATGATTTCCGGCATTACCAATTTTTAAATGGAGATTAAACCATCTGTTCTATCTGCTCAATGGAGATTTGTGGGGGTTAAATAAATAAATGCAAATGGTAAATCTTGGGAAAGCACACACTGCTTTACAAATAAATGGTGGTACCACTGTTGGGATTATTCAACCACAAGAATATGAAAAATCTGGAAGGGGAAATTTCAAAATCTACATGTGAAAGTTTTTGGAAAATGGACACTGCTCACTCATTAGTAAATAAATATAAAAGGCACAAAATAAGTAATAAATAACATTATCCACATAATCAGTGGTCCCTACTACTGAGCACATTAGTCATTCTGATTTTCTCCCACAGTCTCTGACAGTTCACTGTGGATGGGAAAACTGCACGATTGAGGAGCTGTCACTTCATGACATATAAAGTAGGTTTATGAACCCAAAATATATGACTTAGAAATAAGAGTGAAAAAACATTCCCAAGAAACTGGTCTCTTTCACATTATGTCTGGTGCAGTACTTTTGTTATGTCTCTCAAGCTTCTTTCCCAGGAAACCAGTTGTACCATGCTATGAGCAATTTATCTTCATGTCATATTCTTGGCTGCTGCCATTAATCACAGTGTTCCCTTACTGGCGAGACTCTGAGACTGAGCACTGAGAAAATAAAAGATACAGGGTGGGATGCTGTTTGTGACCTAATTACTCTCATCCCAT